TTTTTTTGCCTTTTTAAGCTTATTATATATTTTTTATTGATTTTATGTAAGAGAGGGGACCCAAGAGAGTGTGTGGTTGGTTAATGTCATGATTTCTAAGTTTATTTTCGTTTTCTATATTTTTAATTTTATTATTTTATAATCATGAGTGTTTAATGATAGATTGACATTGTAAATCAAATTTTGAATTATTGTATATGAATTTTATGAAATGAATATATAATTGTAAACTATTGTATATGATTTATAGTAGTTTCCGTTGGACTTGATTATACTAGTCAATTATAGAGGCTCTGATAAATTAAATAGAAGATAAAAAAATGCATTTCTTCTAATTAGATCTTGGGATGTCATATATCCCAAAGGCAATATCTTCATCAAAATCAGCGTGATTGTAGGTTGTGAGTGCACTCAAAATTGTTGAAATCTTATGATATTTTCTTGACTACAAAAGCCATAGAGTAGAAATATAAAGGCAAAGTAGATGATCATGGAAGTGGAGAGTGAGGAATTAGGAGAGAAGGAGATATGTAGATGGTGCCATTCAACTCGGCTTCTACTCCTTAATAGGGAGATAAATTATAACAACTTTCTTAATTATGACATAATGGAGTGTTTAAGCAATTAGATCATTTAGAAGATCAAAACATATCCTACATTCTAAAAGACAAAAAATGTCAGTACAAAACTTCAAGATTAAGTATTTACATTTAGAAATATAATTAACACTGACTAATATTATAAGAATAAACTTTGGCATCATGCATTACTTGTTATAAAAAATAATTGGACACATTTAATTGAATAGATACAATATATGGAAGAATAAACTTTGGCAAATGTCAATCTAAACTTAGAAACAGTAAGATTATTGACAATTATTGACAATTATTGACAATTATATAGGCACTTATTATCAAAATAAGTGCCTATATTCTATACAAAATCATAGTCCTCTACATAGAACTTGAATATAACAAAATCCTTAGCTCTTGTACTTCGAGTGTTGAAAGATTGCACAAAATTCAAATATCTACTTTGGACTTGAAAGAAAAAATTGGATCTTTTTATTTTCTTCATTTATATCATTTTGAAAGAAGGCTTGTGACTTAATTAGTATTAAATTGAAATTTTTACTTTAAAAAATGAAAAAAAAAAAACTTTCATATTATTGCTATCTATTTTATTTACAAAACCTTATTATTCGAATCTATTATCTATTATATTTATTTACCTGAGGTATTTGGAGTATAAAAATATTTGGATTTTAATTGCAAAAAATTAGAAACTAAAAAATAAATAAGATGTAAAAATATAATGAATAAAATTTATCAAATACATAATGCCTAAAAAAAGAAAAAAATTAAATAAAAATATTCTAATATATTCACTTTATTAAAAATTTAAATGGATTTAAATTTATATTAAAATTAGCAAAATTTATAATATCATATACAAATTTGTTGCCTCGAACATTTGTGGCGGTAGAGAGATATAGAGTTTAGTTTCCAAACATTGTACGAATATCCAACACACATACAGATAATCGAGAGAGGTGCAATAGTCATAAAAGACAACAAATTTTTTACGTGAAAAAACCTAAAAAGATGATAACCCACGGGGCTTGGCCTAGTTAAAAATAATTCAGCTAGTGTTGATGGTCGATTACAAATAATATCCCTCCTCGGAGGAGGGTGTTGGCTTAATGTAACAAATACACATTCTATATTGCTCGTTACTTGGTAATTATCTTAAAAGAGTGTTGACGTGTCTTTTTGGTCAATAGGATTGTAGTCAACAGGCAAACATGATCGTAGGCCCCGTAATCGACGGGCGATGGTGGTCAAAAGGACCATAATCTACGGGCAATGATGGTGAGAAGGACCGTAGTTAGGGCGTGATGGAGGTTGAAGGGACCATAGTCAGCATGTGATATTGATCAAAAGGATCTTAATCATCGAGCGATGGTGGTCGGAGTGATCGCAGTCGGCGAACGACAGTAGTCAGAAGGATGATAAATAAGCGATGGTGGTCAGAAAGACCTTAATTAATGATGATGGCTAGAAGGAACCCCAGCAGTGGTCGACAACCGGTTGAAAGTCGAGCAGGCAAGAATAGGTGGTCGAGAGGTGCAAACTTGAAAATGCAAGAAAGATCCTTAGTTTTTCATCTCTTTCTCCTCTCTTCTTTGTGAAGAATGAGAGGTTTATTTATGAATTTTTTTTAGTGACATAAATAATAAATAAGTAAAAGAGCAAGGGATGTTGGTAGTATTTCAATGGACAGTCAATATCAACTCCCTCAATTATATATTGTTTATCGAGCATTCAAGTGTCTTAGGCCCGTTTGAAAGGGGTTTTTTTTCCTTTTTCTATTTAGAAACAGCAAAATTATTTTTTGGCCGCTAATTAAATAGGACGCTTCTATAGAAATGCTTTTTAGAGACTTCATTTTTCTACTGTTTGGAAAATCTTTTTAATATTTACTTCTCCATTAAAAAACTTCATTCCCTTAACCAATGTTTCTAAAACTATATTTTACAAAAGGTATCAGATAATATAACGATTTTGAGCTCATTGGAATCATCTCGTCGTTCAATTCAACTATAAATATGACATATTTGAATATCATTTAGATTCAGATTGAATTGATTTTAATATCATTATATTAGCCTATTCGAGAGATTCAATTTGCCTAAGTTTGTTAATCACAAATTAATATTTGAAAATTTCTAGTTCATTCTTGCCTCAAAATTTGGAGAAATTATTCTGTACGCAGTCCGAACGCAGAGATAGGTTCGGATGCTGCGTATCTACTGCTTATTTGTTGCGTATTTTTTGTGTATTTAATATTTTCTACGTATTTTTGCGTATTTTTTGTGTATTTAATGAGTATTTAGTGAGTATTATTTATTTGTTATTTTTTGGCAAAAAAAATTTTGTATAAAAAAATACGCAACAAATAAACAGTAAATACGCAGCATCCGAAAACGTTCGGATTCCACACAGAATAATTTCTCCAAAATTTGTGGCCTCTCGTGATGCTTTTTTAGTTTTTTTATGACATATCAATATTAATTTTATCATATACATATTAACTTTAAGACAAATTCAAAAACATTCATACTCGTCTTAATACAAATTGTACTACATTATCATTCCAGAATTTTGCTACAAATCGTATTAAAATAAAACCTAATACACATTATATTTCGTTTCTAAGAGAATTAAATAATAACAAAATATTTAAAAAAGTTTCTGAGTTCAATTCATCACTTCAAAGTAATCTCATGAATTTTAAAAATTCATAAAAAAAAAATTATATTAAAAAAACCCCAAATAAATATTTATAAAAAAAAGTTTACCTAAAATTCATCATTCAGAACATTTATTTAATATTCATATAACTCTATATCAAATATACACATTATCTGCTTAAAACACACTCATAAAAATAACTTTAATTTTTTATTATAAATTTATAATATCATACACCCCTTCAAATCAACTATAATGCTTCAATATTGGATTCCACAAAATATTTAAGATTATTTAATAAAATCAAAGGATTAAAATCATAAATTAATAAAATCATATGCCACTTTTTAAATTTTATAGATTCTACAAACCAAAAAACTACAATCATACAGCTTAAACTAATACTCCCATAAAAAGAAACATCTGAACTGATTAATGGTCAGAACACCTGTTTGGATTCCTACAGTTAATAATAATAATTAAAAGAAAAAAGGATTTACCATTGCCAGGGGTTGGGAGGAGTTTCAGATGTTCCTTCTAACAAAACCTTACTGCTACCCTGGAACATACCTTGGCAATGGAGATTGGTACCATTAGCTTCCGATACCAGGTTGCTTCCCACATTCTCATCCTCCGTTTGAACGCATGGCATCCCTGCCATTGATGCACAAGTAGGAGAATGAAAGCAAGGATACAGTTCTGCACTGCTACATTGCTGCAAAGGTTGTTCAGTGGAGATCTTATCGGCACTGTACGCCATTGGACTTAGATGGATTTGTGAAGATTGGGCAGAAGATGACAGAAGAGAGAAAGCACGATCAGAGCCAAGGCCTGCTTCACTCTGCTGCAGGAAGGGAAACTGCAAAGGGAGGCAGTGAGAGTGGAGAGCTCCGTGCTCAGATTTTGCTGAGAAGTTGATCCAGTTAGGATCAGGCATGGTAGAGGGGCTTATTTGCAGGTGTGAAGAGTATCCGGTCCCTGATTGTTAAAGATAACTGGTTTAAGAAGGTTAACTGTAATAGAAATCAAGTAGTCATGTAGAGAAGGAAACCTTGGTGGTTGGAGAGTAAGTTTCCTGGGTTTAGAGTATCCAGCTGGGGCTTCCTTCTGCGCCTGTTGTGCCCATCAAGGCGCTTCCTGCAACTTCGCTTCCCTTCATCAAACTCTGACAAAGAGTGGAATCTGAATGAAAATAATTAGCTTATGATTAAAGTTGACCAACTAGCCCAACTGACAAACACATTACAACAACAACATCAAGCATTTGTCCCACTACGTGGGGTCGGCTACATGAATCTTTTTTCTCCATTGTGTCTTGTTAAAAGTAAAATTCTCATTTAAATCTAATAAAGAAATATCATTTCTAAAATTTTTTAATCAAGTATTTTTAGGTCTACCTCTACCTTTATTAACATAAGTCAAATCTAATACCTCTACTTTCCTAACTGGGTCATTGGAAGGCTGTTGTTTTATGTGACCAAACCATCTAAGGCGGCGGCTCTCTCTAATCTTATCTTTTGCTGGCGCTACTCCAACCTTTTCACGTATATGCTCCTTTTGTATCATATTTCTATAGGTAAAGCCATTCATTCACCTAAGCATCCTCATCTCTGCAACACTTAACTTACACAATGCCACATTGAACATAATAATTTCTAAGAACTTAGAAATGAGGAAGATCATCAATAGTTGATGGCATTTTTTGGAAGATCTAGTTGGCTTAATGTCAAAACTTCGTAATGTTAACAAGTGTACACAAATCTGTCTTAAAAGAATCTCATGGTTTCAGTTCATTCTTTATTTCTATCTTTTTCAAAGAATAGAGCATAGATGCAGAAAGCTTCCACTGATTAAACCTCTACTTCAGTTACCATATGTGACGAAGATAACATTTCATTACTGCAGACCTTCTCTTCCAAATAAAGATACTTCAACTAAGTTTTAGGATGATGAAATAAATCTATCCAGTAACGGTTATAAATGGTTGTTTGACCATCAAGTGATAGCTTAATACATCATGAAGAAACAAATATAAGCTCCTTTTCCTCTAAAAAAAACAACAGAGCTTGGTAAAATCTCTAGATTGCAATCTACTTCATGGATGGCTAAAAAATAGAACAAAAAACACGAGGAATATGGTACAATTTCAGCCTTTCAGTTATTATTGACCGACTATATTACAGTCTAGAAGAGCTCATACATATAGTTTACTAGCTGACACATCCCTTTTGTAGAAATTTCAGTCTTCCATTATATTTCGTAGTAATCATGTGCTGCTGCACATGCAATACAATTTTCACCCACTAAATTTGTAATTTTTTGTCCAACTTTCAAGTGATATTTCAACATCTAGTGTTACTAGGCATTCTAGTTTCCCGCCCTCGCAACTAAATACACAAGTGAAACTGGAAGTTAGGATTTAAATTTGGGCATTTGGTAGAACAAAAGGCCAAAAAAACTAAAGCATTAATTACATACTGTTATAATCAGTAATATCTTTGGGCAACATAAAATTTAAGCAATTGGTCTATAAATATGTAAAGCACTAGTCTATTCTTTGTTTTACTTATTTTAGGTAGACTAGTTCTTTAGTGACATTTTGATATGCCTAAGTATTAAATGAAAGACTTATGGAATGAAATAATTTCTTATTTCTTCCTCTGTAGTCTCTCCGCTTTCCCCTCTTCTTCTCTTGGAGTCTACATTTACTCGAAGGTTCCTTTCCCTTCTTGATATAGATCAAGAGACATATCAATGGTGGTCTCGTTGAGAATGCCCTCACCTTCCCTCTCCTCTTTCCTGCCCATCAGCTTTCCTGCTCAACTCAGCCGCAGCTTTCCAGTTAGCCCACACCTTCTTCTAGTAAGCCCACCTCTGCCGCTGTCCACAGCCCCCAGTCAGCCAGCATCTTCTTCCGGTCAGCCGCAACCTCCAATCAGCCTGCCTTTCAGTGCGCAAGAATTCTGCATGCAGCTCTTCGGTGCCAAGAATTCCTTCCAAAGGAAGAATAGTAGGGGACAGTTTGAAATTCCAGAACCATCCGGAAATGCCTTAACTTAATCTAAGTGTTGGGCTTTATATTTTGTGGAAAGTCTTGAGAGCCCAAATTGAGAAGAGAGAGAGAGAGAAAGAGAGAGAAAGGCTAATTGATGTAGCAGAATTTGATCCAGCCATCAAAACTCAAAAGCTCTTGGACCCTTGAAAGAAGTTGTAGCAACCCTTCATCTTCAAGTTTGATGTACATTTTTTTTAGGTAAACACCCTGGTATCAAATCAGCCATCGGTTGCCCCACTGGTTTCAAGAAGAGTAACCCCTTCAACTGCCCGATTTGCCGTTTACAACAGCAGATTCAAGACCAGCAGGTCCTCCAACTGCAACAGCAGCTGTCCTTCTCCACTCAATGGGCCAGCCTTTAGCCGCAGCCCTCCTCCGCAGAAATCAGCCGCAAGAACCAGTACACACAGCCGCCTCTTCTCTAGACTTCAAGAACAGCTGCCAGCAGCCACATCTAGTCCAAAATCTGCTGCATCAAGAATTCATTTTCACTGAAAGCAATGCTGCTAACTGCATATCCTTGTACCACCCATATTATGAAGAACCACTTCTTGTTTTTCTTTTCCAGTTTTCCCACACTATAACCCATCATTAAAAACACTGATTTAGGCAATACTATCCGAACCTTATAAACCAATCAAAAAATATATTTCTGTGAAATAGAAAAATCCCTACAACAAGTGAATGTTCAAACTGCCTCAATTGGCTCATCACTTCAACATGTCCATACTTTCATGCATTCTATTGATAAGAAACTTGATAGTTTGTTCATTAACTGCCTACCTCCTCTACTTCATCGAGATCCTTCCTCTTCCACCGGCATGACGGCATCCTTGGTTCCTCCGAACAAATCCCTTCTCCACAACCACCACCTTCTCCAACCATTGCCCATCGTATTCATCTTCCATTCTTATCTCAACCAGTTAAAATCAATCCTTATCATTCTCCACATTTTTCATAAAGATGCTATTCATATTTCAAGCTCTTTTTCTATTTCAATATTACTTGTTCATAAACTGCATGGTACTTGACATTTTTGCATTAATTGTAGAGTCCTTAAAATACTCCTCATTCAAGAAATATTTCCTATTCCAATAGTAAATTAATTTTTAAATGAATTACAAAGAATTTTTTTTCCACACTTCATTTTCGTTTTGCCTCTTAACAAGTTAGGATCCATCTAAAAAAATGTTCATGAAACTATTCATGAACTCATAATTTCTCCTTCTGTTTTTTTTTTTTTTTTTTCCTCCTACTTTTTACAACTTTGTAGCCAAGCTTTATTGAAAGGGAAAATAAAATATCGGATGATGCTGCATGAGAAAATTTTGCAGCCTTCTCTTCATCTTTTAATTCTCTCAACCTTGAGGACAATGTTGTTTTCCATGGTAATTGGAGTATTATACATCAACAATATCTTTCGGTGATATAAAGTTAAAGCAATTGGTTTACAAATATGTAAAGCACTAGGCTAGTCTTTGTTTTACTTGTTTTAGGTAGGGCGGTTCTTTAGTGACATTTTGGTCTACCTAAGAATTATAAATACCTCTCTCATTGTAATGAAAAACTTATGGAATAAAATAATTTCTGGTTTCTCCATCTCTAGTCTCTCCCTCTTTCCCATCTTTTCTTGGAGTCTACACCTACTCGAAAGGTGCCTTTCCCTTCTTGATATGGATCAAGAAGCATATCACATACATAGGAGATCCAATTTCTAAATCATCCCATCACACCTTATAGTTGAAATTCAGGACTCTGTAAATACAGTAATAGTGTCACTTGGTTTCCTTTTTATCTCCTTATCAGGGGAAATGTTACCCATTAAGTCTACTTAAAATTTAAATATTAAGCTGCTTGGGTGTGGGTACTACTAGCGACCCATAACCAGCAAATCTCAACGAGCAAATAGAATGACAGCTTAATGGAAGTTATTTAAGGTTTTAACTTCAAAAAGTTATAAGGAATATTCACAATGTCAATGTAATTTCAAAGAAGTATATAGTAAACGAAAGACCACAAAACATACTGTAGATCCTTAAGAATTCATGAAAAAGATTACAAGTTTGCTTACTTGACAATTAATATAATCAAGATTTCTTCGTAAGTATATTCCATCACATTTATGTTTATTAAAATTACAGAATAATCTTACTTAGGCTTCCACTACCCAAATTAGACTTGAATAAGTTCAGTTGGCTGGCTTAAGGAAAAAAATGAATCTAAGAAGGAAATGAACTAAAAAACTTAACTAGCAAAATTTCAATGAATACCATTATTGAATGCTGTGATTCAAAGAAAAGAGATAGCACAAGGACCAAGTGAATTGCCTAATGTCACAAACAACAGCATATGTACTTTTACTAACTGTAAATTGTTTTTGCTAGCAATTAAGAGAAAAGTAGATCAAACCATATAAGGGAATGTTAAGCTATCAAAAATAATGTAACTCTTGCCAAACTGACATGGCCAAGCTAAGCATTTTACCTGCTGCACTGCTGACAGAAGCGTTGTTCTCGCCCTGCGACCACCACAATTGGAGTCTTAGAGTGAGCCTCGCACACCTTGTGCCGCTTGTGATATTCCCTGCACTTGCTAAGGTCAGCAACGCAGCCATCCACAGAGCAAGTAGCAATATGACCAGTACTGCTTGGAACCCGAGCCCTCCTTGATGCACCAGAGGAAGTCACCATGGAAGCTGAGGCCCTCAAGGTTCCATCTTTCCACTGCTTTGATAATCCGAAATCTCCTAATTCCCCAAGTTTCAAATCAACCGAGCAATCAATTCTTCCGCTTTGTTGTTGAGACTCACTGCTTGATCCGATTAAGGAGAAGAAACGTGTTTCGGTCTCTTGATGCGACTCTGCCAAATCCCAAGGAGGCATCTTCAAGTTCCACTCCATGAAAGCAACCCTTACAAGTTGTTTCCACAAACCTAAAATTCCTTTTATCACTACTTTCGGTTCGTTTACTAGCTATCACTTTCTTTGTTTTACGATTTGGCCTCTTGTCCCTATCCCGCAAACACCCATGCGTATCCTTAAAAAATCTTATTTACCTTTCTCCTTTCCCATCACAGACAAAAATAAAAGCAATTCGTGAAGACGTGAAAGAAACACGAAAAGCATAAAATTAAATGAAAATAAAAGAGAATCTGAAGGGAAAAAAAAGAAACATTTCACAATCGCAGGGCCATAAGAAAAGTCAAGAAAATAAGGAAATGCATCGTCACCTACCTACCGAGAAAAAGGTGATCAAAGAAAGCAAGAAATTGACAAAAACATCAGATGAAAACCCTAACTAATCGGCAGCAACTCCAAATCAAAGAAACCAGAAAAGCATATAGACCATTCGACGGTTCGAAAAGAAGCCACGTCTTCTTAAAGAACGCAAGAGGAAAAATTAACCTACCCCAACATCAAAAAGAACTCATCTTGCAAAACCCTAAAGACAACCGAAAGTACTCAAGATTCAAACAAATAGCTGGATCGCATTCAATACTTACAAGCAGAGGAAGGAAGCAAGAGACTGATTTGGTTTATGATTCTGCCACCATTTAATCTCTGACATGGATTCCACAAAGCGAGGCAAGGGAGAAGGGAAGAAGCAGCGCAGTGGAGTGTAGTTTAAGGACTAATAGCCACCTTGTTCTTATCAAATAGGAGTAATTTCATCACAGATAGCCGTAGCTGTAGCTAACAATAATGAAGAGACCTATGCCATAGTTATCCGGAGAAGTTCAAATTTGCTTTTTTTAGGTTAGGGGTAGCCATTAAAGGTAGTAGATGGGCCAAAACTAGCTGGCCCTAAGGCCATTTATTGAAGTAATATATTTGCATAATTCTCGACATTCTATACGGCCAGTTCGTAGACCTATGTCATCCTTTTTTAAATTGCCATGGTTTGCCATCTTCCTTGCTGAAGTGTCCTGCTCTGTTCTACAAGATAAACGGATAAATTTTTAAAATTTTCAGAGTAAGGATAATAGAAGCGAATAAATTTTAAATTCATTGGGGAAAATTCCCCAAAAAAAAAATCATTGGGGAAGAGTTGTAGATTTTTTTGGATCTCTGATCAAAAGTTTATATTTTAATCATTAATAAATTAATAATTGAAATTAAATATTTCAACAACCCAAAAAAAATCAATCTTGAATTTTTAGCAATAAAATTATAAAATTTATCAAGTAAATTAAATGGCAACTAATGCAAGTAGTCATCTTTATTTTTTTTAAAAGTGGGGCTCCAATCAATTTTATTAAACACAAAAAAAAATTATTTAATAAGAAAGTAATAACATTGCAAAAAAGGATCAAAGATATTGATATTTCATTGAGGAAAAAAAATCAAAACAAAATGTAAAATTATATAATAATGGTTAGATTTATATGAATTGTTCAATGCTAGAAAATTTATGTCGGTTAACTTTAGATAAAAAATTCAACAAGCACAGAGAAAAGTTGTAAAACTTTGAAATTTTTTTTATGCGAAAAGCGAAGAAGGAAAAAAATCACAGGGTCTAGCCCAATTAAAAAATCCATTATAAATAGAAGATGTAAGAATCCTTTATTTCTCATAATTGAAGAAATTGGGTTAAATTTTTCAGTAAAGATTATAGAAATCAAGTATTCAGAAATAGACGGTTAATATCTAACAATAAGGCTTGATTTCCCTTATAGAAATTACCAAAGTCTAATGTCCATAAGCGAATAGCTAATACCCAAGAGTTAAATCTTATCAGGAGTCTGAAGATGGTGACAATTGTTGATGATGGTCATCAACGCAGATATCGAATAGTGGTTGCCAACTACGATAGCTAGTAGTGGTCGGCGACAGCAATAGCTAGAAAATGCAAGAAAACTCTCTAATTTTTTCCACTCTTCCCTCCCCTCATGCGAAGAATGAGCTCTATTTATAGGCTTTTTCATATATGCATTTTGGTAATTTGAAATAAGAACCTAATGTTGAGTGAACTTTGGGTTTGTTGGATTCGTTTTGTCGAGTTAGTCAATTCGACTATAAGCATGTCAAATTTTTTTTTTTAAAAAAAATTATCATCCAATTAATGTCTGAATTTTTCAATTTTACATCAAGTGTTTGCTTTGATCACAGTTAGGCTAGGATTGGGTCACTTTTGATATCTTTGAATAATATAAATAGATATCTCCATATACTTCTGCATGGCTATAGTTATCAATGGGTGCGACATATATATTATAATTAATCAAACCATTCAATCGCGAAGTTGCCCAAATTTTCAATTAATGTTTCTTCATTGAGCCACAAATAAGAAAAAAATGACAATTTGTTTATGTAAGGCCTTCCAAAAGATGGATGTTTTATAGATTGATTAGCTTCAAAAAGAATCTTACGTTTCGTTTCAAACAGCTTTCTTACTGTCTTATGAAGTTGTTTCTTAGTATAAAATTTTTAAATTCTTAAAAATTTTATACTAAAAAGCTGCTTCTTAAAGCTGTAAAAAGAAACTGTCACAAACGAAACTTTAGACATTATAACAATAATTATAAGTAGCATAGTTATTATATATTATCTCCAAATTAATATGGATTTCCTTAGGGTTTAAGTTTAAATTATTTTTCGTTATATATACATAACTTTTTTTATTTATAAAATAATTAAAATATAAATTTATGAGGCATATACTCCCTCTTTAAACCATTCATAAAAATCTTGCTTTATAATTATTTTACCCAAAAGAACAAAATTCTATGAATCCATTAATAACAAACATAATTAATACATGCAAATAAACAGTGCCTAAACTTTACAAAATAAAGTAATCCATTGATTATGCAAATAAATAAATAATTTATTTAATGAATATGTTAATTACAATTAATGGTGTTAATTAACAGCTTGACCGAGTTATTCTTAATTAGTCTAAGCCCATTAAGTAAACGGCAGAAATTAATTATTAATGTTTGATTTCTTAGCTGAGTTTGACCTTCTCTGGCCATTAAGCATGAGGTGAATAAAATATCCAAAATCTAATAGTAGTTTGAAATTTGTGGAACACTCATTAGTGAAATTTAATTTTATATGCCTCATAATAAATGTCAAAAATCAAATATTCTCATTATTTTATTATTTGGAGAAATATGCACTAAATTTTATTTAGGTTTGTAATCCCTCACTATATTAATATATCATGAATTATAGCCTCATTAAGACTTACTCAAACTTATAAATATGAGGGTGCTTAAATGTCCCTCTTCACAACGAGCAATTATTATATCCGATGTCCGTATGCGTTCAGAGATCAATAACCACGCGCCACGTCATCTAAAACTCGGTATTTTGGACTCGGTATTGCTCAGTATACATTCGGACCGTTCAGTTTTTGACCGGATGTAATAATTTCTCCTTCACAACACCTTTTTTTGTCAAGAATAATCTAAAAGCTCAGGAGATCAGTGTATGATAAAGCTTCATAGTGGCAATCCTGACTTTTCAACTATCATGTGCTCAAGATTAGTTATATTATAATTTTAGTTATTTAGATTTAAAGTCATTCACTTGTAACGCCCAAGTAGACCTGTTAATTTTGGGTCACGGGTCGGGTTCGGATCGAACTCGGAACTGATCCGGTACTATTCGGGTTCGGGTCAACCCGACCCAACCCGCTTTGGTGCAGCAGGGCGACGAGAGCGACGCTGCGACGGCAACGCGAGCCAAGCGGGCGGGCAAGCAACGCGCTGCAGGCGGGGCGCTGTGCAGCGCTGCGACGCGATTAGAGTGAGATATATATATATATATATATAGTGTGTATTCTAATTTCATTTTTACCCTTATCCCCCAACTCCCATTGCCATAGAAGAAAGAGAGAATGAGAGCGAGAGGAGAAGAAAGATACAGAAAGAGGAGAGATATTCAGAGGCCACGAAGTTGCATATATCTTTTGGGCAAGTTAAGGGTTTCTTATAGCACGAGATAGACTTTTAAATACATATCTTTGATTTTAATTCTAATGTTTTATGAAAATATATGAACAAAAATATGTCTTTCTTATATTTTATGATATTTTCATAGTGTAACTTTTTATATATTATTGAATGCTTTATTCTAAACACTTTGACTATAAGAAGATGAATTTTCACTGGTCGATTGCTTATTTATTTATTTTCAGTGCACAATCTACTTTATTTCAATCATCTGCCATTTATATTATGCTCATAGATCAAACCCACAAGTGATTAGATTTTTTATTAGAATCCATCCAAATGAGCAAAGTTATGGGTCAAGTCTTTCTGCTTGATTTTGAATCAGGCTTGTATTGAATCAAACTAATTTGAGGTCAACTCAAAATATATAAGAACAAAACCTGCTCCTCATTCAACATTCATTTAATTTTTGATGTTATTATATTCAAATGGAAGGTGAAAAGTCAATTCATTTTGTTAACATTAAAACAAAAGGCATACATTAATAGAGTAAACCAAAGAAAACAACTCTGAGATGGATTCAATTCAACAATTTCAAAGTAAAATAAGAACCGCAAGAGCTGCAGAATAAAAAATGCAGATATTCTTATCATATAATCTCCAGATTAATAAATGGATTACAAAGCAGGAAATGAAGATTCAAAACACTAATAGAGTAAACCAAAGAAAACCCAAAATTCAACATCTGGCTATGGTTTCACTTGGAGCAGCTTTATAAGAAATTTTTATACTAAAAAACTGCTTTAGAAAACAGTAAGCAAGCTGTACCAAACGAAGCCTCTGTTTTAGCCCCAAGGAAAATAGTGTAGAACATGTTTAAACAGGGATACTTCATAATAGGAAAGAAGAAAAGCCAAATAAATGGATTTTCTTCAGCTGCTACCAATCTTTTTGTCTATCCAAAAGTCCCAAAACCTAGAAATTTTCATCCTTAAATACCTGCAATGGTTCAAAATTCTAATACACCAAATCCCACAAAATCAGTGATAGTCTCTCACCTTGGAGCTATTATTCTATGCGGATACCGGACGGTTCTCCCGAGCTCGTTATCGAGCGGGTACCGAGCGCTGTACATCTTGGGGTGACATGATGCATTTTTATTGGTCTCGAGACGCCATCCGGACTCTGCACAGAATAATAAATCCTCACATTGATGCTTGGTCAGCTGATTTAGAGAAGATACAGTACTCGATTACATAGCGTAGGGCACATAGAAGCTAAGCATTGAGGGACCTCGTATGATGTTGCAGTGTCACTCTTTATGCCTTTAAGAGAAATTCAGCCTAGATTGATGCCATGTTTGGCATCATGGTGCCATCTTTAACAAAGTGCACCATCAAATCTCTTTACAGAATGTGATCATCAGCAAACTAGAATGCTCTCCTTTTTGAGCCTATATTATTTGTGTGCAAATAAATACAAACAATTAACACATAACCATAATGTGAATATGATAGAAAATATGAAAGTATGATCTCAAGAAAAATAGTTAGTCCCCAAAAAGTTAAATTCTTATTGACCTTTTTTTAACAAAAGCCAATTACTTCATTATGACTCATTAAAAATTTCAAATTTCAAATTGAAGTTTAAATGATGGTAAAAATATTATTTTTTAACAAAAGCAACTCTTTCTTCGTTATGTATCTTAAACGGCACCGAATCTCCTTTTCTTTTTGTAAGTGATGATCAATAAGCACTCCCACAAATTTACTTTTGATATTATATATTTCTGATCACCATCCAATAGCTCCTTATCCCTTTCTAATGAGGTGCCTTATTTGCTTTGCTTAATATTTTACGTAGATTTTCTAATATTCCTTTATCCCTTTCTAATGTGGGATTTAGTTTATTCTACACACTTTTTCTTCTAGAAGTTAT